TCTATTAAACAACCTAATTCTTCATTAAAAATCTCTTTATATTTATTTACCAAATCCCTAACGGACTCCTTTAAAATTCCTAAATCATGACTTTCATCAATTTCTTTTGTTATTACATTCTTATCAATTTTTTTTCTCACCAATTTCACCGGAAATTTTTGCGATAAAGGTATTTTCTCCCTTTCATCCTTACATATTTCCTCATCATTCACATAACTTTTTTTAATTTTAATTCCTTTATTTTCTTCTTCCAAAACCGATTCCTTACCCCATATTTCCACAAAATTAACAATTTCTGTACTCACCAAATTATCATCATTTTCCAAATTAATAACCTTCCCAAATTCCTGATTATTTATTATATATTTCACTTGAAACATCAGGCTTCTCCTGACATATTTCATCCTTAAAAATTTCCACATTTTCCCGAAGTTTTTCGAAATTACTTACAAAATTTTTAATTTTATCCCGTTTCACTAATTTATCTTCCAACATTTCTTTTTCTATATTATCACTAAGTTCTAGATCATAAATTATCCTATTTTCAAATTTATCCTTTTGTTCTTTGATACTACTCACTAAATTTTTAATTTTATTCCGCTTCATTACATTATTCCCCAACACTTCTTTTTTAATACTATCATTAATTTCCTGATTAAACTTTACATTTTCAACTTTAATTTTCTCAATAATCACATTTTCTTTTATTTTATTTTCCATTTTGATACCCCTTTCTTTCATAGCTATCTCTGTTATTCTAATTCTTTCATCATTTTTATTTTTCTCTTGAAACATATTTCAAAAATTATTTTCTAACCCAAACTTTGATATCCAAGACCATCCCATAATAGTACCAATTTTTTCTTTTAATATCCACAAATCCAAATATATTATTTCTTCATTTACAAAAACCGGTAAATTTACCCTTCCCAACACCATAACTTCAGATCCATTTAACTGTCTTATTCTCATTTTATCTTTAATTATGAATTTATCCGGCCATACCTCATGAAATTCATCATACCCCATAACCGAAATCGTTGCCCCTGTGTCCAATAACATCCATATTTCTTTATTTTCTATATTAATTTTAACCCATGGGCATTGATCATAATTCCTAAGGTAAATTACTTATTTGATTTTCTTGATTTAAATCCTCCAATATATTTTTACAAAACCCATCATTTTTATTCTCATTTATTTTCTTTTCCACTTTTACTTCATTACCATTTATTAAATTTACTTCATGATCCACTGTATTCTTTGACGACACTCCTGATATATTTACTTTACTATCATACAGTCATTCTACTGTACAATCCTTCGCATAATGCCCAATATTTCGACACTTATAACAAGTTATATCCTCTCTATTAATTCTTTTAACTATATTTTTCTGCTCATTTTCTACGTATTCCACCGCTGGAAACGCTTTGCAAACACCTTGTTCATTTTTATAACATTTATCCTTAGTATGTCCTAAATTCCCACAATTTTCACAAGATATCTCTTTTTTTGGGTTCCCATTCACCAATTTGTACGCTGGAACGTAACATTCTTCCGCATTATGACCCTTATTTCCACATCCTTTACATATTTTCGGTACCCTGGATTTACCTTGGCATTACATTCTCTGCTTAAATTCCCAAATTTTCCACAATTATAACATTCTTTTTGACTTTTATAATTTTGTTCTATTCTTTTATTTACATTTTTTTTCTTCCAATTCCTTTATTTTTATTTATGCTATTTCTATTTCTAGTATTTCTTCCTTCTTTCTTTTTAATTCCATTTTCTCTTTTTCCTCTTTTTTCTTTAATTCTATTTCTTCTATTTTCTTTTTTTCCGCTTCCCATTCTTCTCTCATATCTTTTTTCAATTTCTATTTCTCTCCTTTTCTGTTCTATTCTTTTAATTTCTGTCATTTCCATTTTCAATTTCTATTTTTTCTTGTTCTATTCTTTTAATTTCATCATTTTCATTTTCCTTTTTTTTTTATTTCAATTTCCCTATTTTCCTGTTCCATTTGCTTTACACACCTTATTCTATTCGATTCTTTACTTCCATTTCTTTTATACCATAAATATCCTCCAATTCATAACATTATAATTCCAACTATACTCACATATATCTCTCCCTGTGCCAACTCTTTTAATTCAAAATAATTTTTAGTGGTAATTATTTTTTTATTCCACATTTTAAAAAATTTTTTAACTATTTTTTTTTCTTTTAATTTCAATTTTTTAATATTATATATAGTAAGCTTATTAGTAATTAAAAATTTTTTAACTATTCTAAAAGAACCATAAACTATAGCAATTATTAATATTATAAAAAAACAATTCATATAAATTTATCTAGAAAAATATTTTTACCTTTTTTTTCGAATTTTTTTTTATATATACTTTTTAAATAATTTTCTGCCTTTAATCTATAGTAGTCAATCGCCAGGTATCTTTAAATATGAACGGCACCAACTGTAGTGATCCTAAAATGTTTAAGACACTAAAAATGTTTAAGACAAATTTATCTTCAAAGGTTAAGACAAATAAGTTCAAGACAAATTTTTATTTCCAATTATTTTATTTTTTTCTTTTATTAATTTCAATACAAATATATATTATGCTTTTCCAAATTCAAAAAACTAAAATATATCGTTTATAATTTTTCTAAATTCACCAAATCGCGGAAAAAAAATGAAAAACTATATCTTGAAAATCGCGAGCGAAAATAAAAATATATCATCCCAAAAATCAATAATATGCTTTTTTTCTCTTTCCTTTAACATACAAACATACAAAAAAAAATCAATATATATGTCTTCGACTACAACAATATCTATGGTACAACTTCACTGAATTTTTACTTAAACGTATTTACAATCTCTATTTTTACCTATATGCGTCAAAAAATTTCAAAAAACTTTAGAAATAACGATTATGACAATTGTCACTTATCTAGGGTACATCTTCACTGAAATTTTAATTTAACATATTTACAATTTATGTTTTTACCCATTAGCGTCAAAAATAAACTAATATGTTTAAAAATACAGATTATGATAATTGTCATTTTTAGAAAGGAACATCATCATTGAATTTATAATTTAACATCTTTATAATATAAATTATATTTTTATCCTTTTCTGTCAAAGATTTCATAAATGTTAAAAAATAACATGAGAATTATCACAAAGACGATCATGTAAAATAACTTATAAAAGTTTAATATAAATATTTAAAAATAAATTATTTAAACTAGTTCTTATATACTAAAAAAATAGATAATTTTACAAAAATGATAAAAATAAACCTATATAAATAAAAGATTTCAACTAAAAAATTGTTTATTTAAACAAAATTTACAAAAGAATTAATAAAAAAAGTTTATTAACAAAAAAGAAAAAATCATTTAAAATTCAAATCTAATCAAATTTTGCTTAAAATTTGGGCGTGAAAATCATTAATTAATTGTAGCAAAAATGATATTACTTAACTTACATTGCAGCTTATCATTTTTTTATTAAAAGACATCAAATAAATATTCATTTTCATAATATATTATAAAATAAAAAATATTAAATTATATCATTTCTTTAAAATATAATAAATATTTATATTTTACTAAAAATAAATAAATAATAATTAATGCTTGTAATTTCTATTCACGACTTACTCAAGTTGGAAGTCTAAATTAAAAAAAGTAATTGTATTGTTAATTAATAATAAAAACTAATTTTAAATCACGATTTGAGTTTACGACTCGAGTCGACTTGAGTTCACGACTCGAGTTCATAACTCAATAGACTCAGTTTTCGACTAAGTCCGTTTAACAACACTAGTTATGCTCCTGTATAAATTATAAGTATTTTCTAACGAAATATAAATGGTTTTGAAATGGAAATTGGGGAGATATTTCATTTTATATTTTATCATAAGTTGATAAAAATAATATTCGGGTCCGTTCTGAATTTATTATTAAAAAAATTACGACCTAGCCCCTACACCCGGTCCAGTAGATTTCTGATATAAAAATAATGAATGATATATATCAATATTTTAAAAAATAACTAGTTATCAAAAAATGCATTTAGTAATTAATTGGTTACATTAAAAAAATCGTTCTTTTGATATTCCACATTTTTGAAAATGAAAGTACGAATTAGAAGTATAATTATAAAAAACGATAATTTTTTATTTATTAAATGATTTATACAAGGCACCCTATATTTAATATAAAAATTTATATTTTCAAAAATACCTTATAGATCTTCAATTAACATTTTAAAGAGAAAAAACCCTTTAATCCGAATTCAATGTGGTCATTATCTTTTAACCTAAGATATTATGTTTAGAACGTATGTTGCTCTGATATAATCTCATTTTTTTACAAAAAAATATTAAGTAGAATAAATATTATATATTCCCAATTTATTTCTTCCTATTTTATTTATAATCGATCTCGCTTTCATCTTTATAATAATAATAATAATCAATCCATCAATAGCTTTATTTATTATAATAACAATAATCAATCCATCAATCGCTTTCATTTATTATAATAATAATATTTTATACGTAGGACATTTAACAAATCTTTAAAACTTAACTCATTTAGAGCGAGCGTTTGATTCTTATTCTTTAGACCTGATATTGGCGGAATCGAATTCCAGCGTGTATAGAGTAATTAGCCTATTAAATAATAGAGTTCTTCTATGAACTTTTATAAAACTACCATTGATTTATATCATTTTATATATATATATTTTTCAGATAAACTTAAAAAAATAAACAAGAATTAATGACGCAATTATTCGAAATTTCAAAGGGAAGATATCATAAATCTGGTCTTTCAAAATTAAAAAATGCGCGGTATAAATGATTTAAGTTTTAAAATTTTATAAAACCCTAGTCTATGTAGCATAGTCCTGACGTTGCTGCTTACGACATTGCCATGATAGTTATAAAAGTAAAGATAATGAAAAATTTATTTCTTCCTACTCTTCTTATGTTGCCAAACCATGATCGGAGAGGCGGAAGCGAAGTATCTGGAGAGGTGAGACCTCATGAAAGCGACACAGAAAAACGTGAAGGTCACTAATAACACGCAGATGAATCCAATTATACTCATCATCGTTTCTGTATTTATATATTATATATTTATTTTCGTTGAATAGCTTCATTAAAAAGTTATTTAAATCTGGGAGAAAATTATATAAGTTGTGGTATTGTTTCTTTCCATTTCATCTTCATAATAAAAGATATAATGGAAAAAATCGATACTCAAACTTAATCATCTTCCAAAAAAAAATCAATCAATACAGGAAAAATGAATTATAAAGAAGAATTGAAGTGGGCGAAATAAATCAATAATATATTGGTTAATCAAATAAAAATCATTTGCATAAGTAGTTAAATTTAATTATTTTTTTAAAAAAAATATTACTTAAAAAATAGATTTGAAAATGAAGATTAATCTCCTATAATTTATTTCATTAAATTTGTTAAAATTTCCTTTTAATTTATTGCCCTAGCATTTTGCCTCGCAAAGTTTCATTTCAATACTTAAAGTGTAGCATTTCAAACTCGTTTTAAATATTATAGTAGGTTAAAAATGATGCTTTACAAATTTGAAATGAAATATTAAGAGATAAGACATATCAGGTCAAATCTGCGAAACTTTGATCGCTAAGGAATTTTATAGCGACACTTTATAGAGAATTTTTAAAAGCAAAGTATTTGCGCGAAGTCTTTATCGCGAGCGCTTTACCGCAATACAACAAATATATTGAGAATGCATTTATTTTAGGGAAAACAACATATTCAATATTAATTTACCTATCAACGTTTCTTAAATCATAAACGAGAAATGTTTTAAGGATCTTTTATTATTTATTATCTATTAAGTAAGCATGTAAAATTTATCTGATGATTCATAGTTGTAAGTACGAAAACATTTTGGTTTGTTTTTACCTCTATAAATGTACGCCCCCTTCCCCGCCCCCAAATAAATTTTAAAAATATGCTTAAATGTACATTTTAAAAATATTTAGAAATTCTTCGAATTTTTACTGATTTTTTCAGCTTATTTTTGAAAATCATAAAAGATTTTGCTAAGTAATTTTTTTAAATTTTCTAAGTTCATTTTTTTAAATTTTATGTAAATATAAAAGGGAATCTCATTTAATAATAATTTATAGGAACCCAATAAAACTTGAAATGTAAATTATATATAATGTCTAATATGATATATTTAAAAAAAAATTCCATAGAAATTGATATCACATTTTTTATATGCTTAACAATTATTATTTTTACATAATGCACATGGATATAGCTTTCTGATATAATAATAACTATAATTCATTTGAAGATTTTGACATTCCCTCTGGTATTTGATCTCCAATAGTTTTTTGATATCACATATTTCATTAATATAAACTCCTTCTCTATGGGATTCAAACTCTCTGGTTGTTTAAGATTATAACTTTCTAGCACTAAGATTAATTATCTCTACAATCCTCCTTACTTTGATTCTCAACGTTAGATGGCTCAAATAAAATTAATGCTGCTTGATAATCTTTATTCTCCATTAGTAGCTATATAAATAATTATAAGATTTATACTTTACAAATAATTATCAATATTGTAAGAAATTTTAAAATAAAATTGATTTTATACTTGTATGAGTCTCCGGTGTCTTAATGCAGGACCATGAATGATTAAATTTGAGCACAAATGAATATGAAAACAAAAATTCTATAGTCTTCTCTTTTCTCTAAGAAAGAAAGAAATAATTTTTTGTTTTTCCCCATTTTTTAAAAATAAATACCAGTTCACCTTAAATAACAGCATTTTTAGAAGAAATAGCGCTAAACGTTTCTACTCAATTTGAAACATTTACTGATTTTTTTCTAATAAAATGGAATTAAAAGGAATCAGGATTTTTTAAAATAAATATAAATAGAAAATCATTCAAACCAAACTAGTACCCGGAGAAGAAAGCCCGGGTTTTGGGGAAAAACATATGAACCCGAACCGAACCTGAACCCCGATTATAAAATTTTCAAAACCCCAAACCGAGCCCGGGAATTTTATTTGAACTCGGATTTAACCGGGTTCAGTGTAGTTTAAATTAATCAGAGACCTGCAGAGGTACCATTTGCACGACCCGGCCCTTTAAAAAAAATTTTTTACGGCCCGGCCCGGATTTAAAAATTTCAGGCCCGGCTCGGAATTTTTTAAAATTATATACGACCTGGTATATACAAAAATTCACCTATGAGGTATTTTACCATATTTTTCAGCGAGTATTATCGCTTATTATTTAAAAAATACATGTAAAAAGCTAATATTTTGAGAATATTATATTGAATTTATAAAAATTATAAAACTGTTATTTATAAAAATGGATATTTTGAGCATATACTATATTTTATATTGCATTTATAAAAATAAAACTAATATTCATAAAAATGGTAATAATATTTGTCATATACTATATTTTATATTACATTTAAAAAAAATAAAACTAATATTTAATTTATAAAAATGGAAAATATTTTGAGAATATAATATATTGTATTTAATTTACTATTTAATTTATAAAATAAAAATAAATCGCTATTTAAAAAAATGCATTAAATAGTATTTTGAAAATATAATCTAATTGCACAATATTAATATAATTTATTTTATAATATAAATTTTTAACAAAAGAAGATAATTGTATTATATAATATTGTAAAAAAAAATAATGAAAAATGTTGATTAAAAACTTTCATGACTCAAGGTAAATATAATAATTGCAATAAATATTTGACAGTTTGCAAAGTAAAAAACCAGCATGATTGACGAAACCCTATACTCAAGAAAGATATTAAAAATTCACAAATTATCATGAAGAAAGAGAAGCATATCTACCTTTTAAGGTTGAAGATTACTTCTTCTTTCTTCAGGAATTCTCCCAGTAGTGGAAAAATTCCGCTCACTAAAGCAGGAATTGCCAATTTTGCTAAAATTGGAAATTCGCTTTGATGAGCCGCCCACCACTCTAACAAATTATCCACCTTAAATGTTTTATCTATTATTTATGTAATTATAATATTCATCATCGGGTATTGACATATTACCAGAATTACCATCGCCCCATTTATCATAAAACGATTCAGTTTGTTTAACAACAGTCGTAATTTGACTGGTCGATGGTATTTCATTTACTTCCTGAGCCTCTTGTAATTTAATATAATCTTTTATATAGTTTTCCGTCATTTTGCGATCTGTCCCTGACTACATACGTAATTGCTTGAATTTGGGACAGAGAAAAAGAGAAATAAAATGATACTTGTGTTAAACAAATTTTTCAATTAAAAAATGCTTTATATTAAGTAAAATCAATTACAAACTTTAAGAAGTGATAATCCTTTATTTGATTGTTTTGGTAAAATATATTCTAAAAATTTAGATATGAATTATAAAAAAATATATAAATAATACTTGAATATTGGGGCTTATTTAAGATATTCCTTTATTTGATTGTTTTGGTAAAATATGTTGTAAAAATTTAGATATGAATTATAAAAAAATATATTAATACTTTGAATAAATTTGCAGGAAATTAATAATTAGATCGATCTGTGGGTTGTTAGGTAGTGTTAACCATCACCCAATATTATATTAATCATAACTATAATATAATATAATCTTATAACCATTAACTCATAATGTAAAAATTTTTATAAAAAATATTAAGGCCCGGCCCGGGTTTAACAAACTTAAGCCCGGCCCGGATATATTTTAAAAAAAATTTTTTAGGCCCGGCCCGGATATGTTTAAAAAAAATTTAGGGCCGGGGCTGCAGGTCTCTGAAATTAATATAAAATATTTGTATAATTGTAAATATATTAAAAATTTACTTGACAATTTATAATATTTTCAAACCAATTAAGTGAAGTGTTAATAAATTTTTAACAACTTAATTCATTTACTCCATTTTTAAATTTTTTTAAATTTATTCTCAAAGATTCCTATTGGAATGTTAATAAATTTTAAACAATTAAATTCATTTACGCCATTTATTTTTAATTTTTAACTTATTCTAAAAGATTATTAATTAGAGGAAAATGAAAGTGAACAAGTCAAATTAAAAATTATTATATTGGATATTGTTAATTTAAAGAAAACGTCTAAATAAAAATTTTTAAATCTATACATGACTATGCTTTGTATATTTAACTATATTTTGCCTATAAATAAAATAATTAATTTTTTATGCCGAATTTATGTATTTTTTAATTTATTATAATAATAGAATATTTTTTTTTATCAATTCAAAAATTCTTAAACCCGAGCTGAACCCAGAACCAAACCCAGATTCAAAAATATTTGCCTAAACCGAACCCACATATTTTTTTAACCTTAAACCGAACCCGGGCAAAAATTCCGGGTTCGAATCCCGTAGAAAATGTTCCAGATCAAGAAAATAAAGATGTTCCAATATCGGGATGCCTGGCAACGGGTCAAGTATTTAGTACGAAATTCTCATATTTGCCGTATTCTGTGAATTATACGCTTCACGAGATTAGGTCAAGGTCGCCATTGAAATCAAATCACTTAATTGGATATGTGTTTTTCTACAATAAAGAAGTTTCCATAGTATTAATCAAGGCTTCATTCTTAATTGAATTTTTGGTCTCCATTTCGATTGAAATTTTGGAATGATAATGTATTTCTTAATTATCTTTTTTTGTAAGTTGTATGCGACATTTAAATATATCTTATCTTGGTCAAGGCATCTGTACTAATTTGTTTTTGAGGCATTTTTATCTAGGTAGAACAAATCATTTTTAAAAGCTAAGATATCCTAATTTTTGTCAATTTATAGGACTCCGGAATAAAGGGGAAAGATGGTAAAACTATTTATTATATATAACATAAGGAAATGGCATCAACTAGACGTATAAAAATTTTAAAAAAAATTTTGTCATTACCTTTTTTTAATAGTTATAATTTATTTATCTAAAATATCAATTTTTAAATCATACAATCATACTAAATTAATTATTTATTAATTTTTATTATATTTTAAAAATATGTAAGCTTTAATAAGACCAAAAACAAAACAAAATATTATATTATAACCCCACCCCAGATAGATCGGCTTTGGTAGAGCAATTTTAAACAATTACTTTATAAATCTTTTACATGATGCCCATGTTTAAAATGTTAAAAAAGGTTGTCATAATTCCCCTCCCCCTCTATGCGAAGATATGTTTTAAAAAAGCTTTTAAAAATTTGATCCTCCTCATGATTTGTAGTGATGGAGATGATTAAAAAACAGTCGAAAGATATTTTATTTTGAGATTTATGTAGAAATATTATGCTCTAATTTTATCCCCACCCCCTCCCTCAGATTTACCGTAAAAACATCGAGATGAGTACAATGTAAATACATACTTTTATTACCTTTCATTTGATACCCATGTGGAAATATTGTTATATATATTTTACTTTTCCCGTCCCCCTAACCAGACTCAGAATTGAAACAAAGTGACTGTAACTATGAATTAAATATATCTTTTTAAATAGCTTTCATTTAATACTCTACTAGAGATTTATTAGAGTAGGATTTTACACCGCCTCTCTACCCCAATCATGAGCTAGATCAAAAAACCTAGAGTTATAAAATAGCATTCAAAAAATATCTTTATTCGCTTTCATTTGATGTCCTTGTCGGATATCTTGTAAAATAAATTTAAATCTCTCCAAGCCTTGACCCAAGGCATAGATAGCGTGATGGGTAATTTCAATAGTACTCAAAATCATTTTATTAGCTCCCATATGATACCCTTGCCTAGATATTTTTTAGAAAAATGTTTACCGCCACTCCTTCATGACAAAAACCCAAACGACATATTAATGATTAATTTCAAAACTCAAAAAAACATGATTATGCATTTAAAGATAAAAAAAAATAGGAAAAATTTCTGAGCGATATATTATATTTTCTTAGAAATTCAATTCTGAGAAAATTAAAATTTTTACTTAGCAAAATAATCTTTTGGTAATTCAGTAAAAATTACTTCAGGTAGTTTTAATTCTGTGTAATTAAGGGGGAAAAAATAATATATGTTGAAGCACTAACCTCCATGTATTGTAATTAAAGATTAAATATATTCTTAAGATTCAGAATTAGTTCTTGCCAAAGTTTGGCCAACTTTGTATTTAAGTCTGCATCTTAATATTAGATTCAAATTCCTATTTTTTTTTTTGAAAATATAACTAATATTATATATATCCAAGTAAACAAAAAAGAAAAAAAAATATCTATAAATCGTAAAATCATAAGTCTAATGAGTAATGTTACAGTTTCTATTTAGCTTATAACTCTGTTTTAGGTTAGTGGCTGGCAAAACTGATTAATGAATTTATAAATATTAAGTACTCATCAGACATCGCCGGGGTGGTGCAGTGGTGTGTGATGAAGGCTTGTAAACCGAAGGTCCCAGGTTCAATCCTGGGAAGGAGCTAAAAATTTTCGGGTTTTTCTTCGATGGTGTATGGCTTTAGACATATGATATGATAAATTTCTGAGCTGAGAAATGCCACCCCGGTCACCGACAGGCTTGGACAGCCGGGTGCTAGGATACTTGTCCAATAAACCAAAAAAGAAGGTCAGCTAAACTAGTGGGTCAGATGATAACGATTTCTTGGCCAGCGCTAGGATGATGGGGACCTCGGGGGCCGTTCAAGCTCAATGTCTGTCTACCAAGTTACAATGGACTTGAAAACGATACTCCGGTGGGATATCCATCGATATTGATACCAGTGGGAGAGATCAGGATTGGGATATCTGTCGATTTGATAATTCAGTTTGAGGAATACTCAGGTGGGATATCTGGTCGATATTGATTTGATTCCCCGGTGGGGGAGATCAAGATACTTTGGCCTCGTGATGTGATCGATACAAATGAAATCGATCAGAAATACAAATATTGGGAGATCAGGATTGGGATATCTGTCGATTTGATAACTCCGTGTTGGGAATACTCAGGGAGGATATCTGGTCGATACTGATTTCATACACCGGTGGGAGTTCAAGATACTTTGGCCTCAAAAATGATACACCGGTGATCGATACAAATGAAATCGATCAGAAATACAAAGATAAAAATAGATAGCAAGATTAATATTATAATAGATAAGTGAAGGAGCTTACCACCAGAAAAGGTGAAAGCTAAAAAGAAAAAAAAAGTACTCATCAGACAATAAATATTGGCGCAATTCATATATCAAATTCGCCAGTAAAAGGTCAACTAATGATTTCAATTATTAATATAAAAGCCTGAGTAACTGTGCGTGATTCTTATAAACTAAGATTTAGAGTAATAAACAATATATAAATTTATTAATGCTAAAAGAAAAATAAAAACTTTATCGTACCTATTTTTTAAAACATATTATTCAATTAATATGATCATAAAAATAAATGTTTCAAAAAAAATAGTCACTATTAGCAATTATCGCGATATTAAATTCGCTATAATATCATCGCGAAGTAGTTTTCGCTATATGGTCTTCGCGATAATGACCTTGCTATAAATTTCCGCGATAAAAGTTTTTAAGTAATGTATTCGCTTTAAAGGTTTCGTAAAAAAAATCGAGATATTGTCATCGTAGAATTTCACGATAAAAATCTCGCTATAAAATTCAGTCGCGATTAAAGTATAGCATTGATATGGTATCGAGATAAAATGCTTTATAAAAAATAATTATAATTATCGTTTATTTTAAACCAAATTATCAAAGAAAAGAAATATTAAAAAAATGAGAAAGAGATGGATAGGAAGGAAAATAAAATAAAATAATACTCGATTTGAAGATAAGTTTTGGCGGTTTGGGAGTAGTAGATATTAAGCTATAATTATCCAAAAAGAAGGTATCTTTGTCACGGTTTTTACTCTGACCTTGGTTTCCGAAATCGTTGAATTCCTGATTGTAATTGCCATTCCTTGTTTCACCTGCGTAAATCCTATCGAGGTTGGATATCATGGGAATATTGGAGTATTTTCCCATCGGTGCAGATTGGGCTTTCAAGGAATCGAGGGTTAACTTGGTGAAGCCGCTTAATAAAACCCTGATTATTCCCTCGATGGAAAAATTTTCATATGAGGAAACGCTGTTTAAGAACCGAAAGAGAGCGTGCCTCTTCGCTAAAAGTTGAACGTTTTTGCCCATCGATATCCACAACTTGCCATTCGAGTTTAAATTATAATATATTTCCATATTTCATACTTGTTCCTTTATAAATGTCTATTCTCTAAATGATGCAAAGTTTAACTAACTAAAAATAAAAAATTTGCTTATCGAACAACTCTAGAAAAATTGTGATTTCTTAATCGGCCGAACTCGCTTTTCAGTTCAAATAAAATATAAATAATAATAACTAGCAATTTTCTCGAAATCCCCAATATATTGATTGTCTTAATTCAGTCTTTAAAAAATCTTTAATAAAAAATATATAGGTTATATTCGTCGGTTTCAAATTTACTCTAAAGGAAGGTATATTAGGAATGATTTCATCAAAAATTATCCTCAAAATTTAAATATTCCTAATGGAAAAGTTTGATTCGTAGAAAGAAGATATTATGTAGAGAAATTTCGTGGGTATATGATGTAGAGACAAAATGTAATCAGGGATAAAAACAGAATCTGACCTCATAACCCATTATTATTTTTCGAAATAAACCGAATTCTTAAAAATTGTCACCTGGACCTCTAAAATGGTATGTGAACCGGTTTGAATCTTATGCTATATTAATTGTTTTAAACGTTATTATCAATGCATTTTTAGATTTTTTTGCATCTTGCTCTTTGGGAAGTGACAGTTACAGACTTGTTATAGTACGCTAGTTTTTTTATAGCCTAAGCGATAGAGCGCTATTTTTTAAAATTATTTTTATGCTATCAAAATATGGTGATTTTCAACATTACTTTTACTAAGAGACCTGCATAAAAAATTTCAATCTAACCCGACCCGTATTAAGAAAATGATCTTCTTGACCCTAACCAACCCGACAGGAAAATAAAAATATAAAAAATATTCTAATTTATTTAGTTTGCTGTAAGGTATAATCTAAAAGTGAATAAAATGGTAAAATAAAATTCAATCAAACCATTATTTATTAATACATTGATTAAATTCAAAATTATAACAAAAAAATCAAACCAGACCCAAACCGACTTACCTAAAAAAATTATCAACAATAATCCGACCTACCTAAGTTAGCCAAAGTCGGGTTGGTTAGATTGAGTTTCCTATTGAGTCGGGGTTTGCAGACCTCTAACCTTTATCATAGTAATTTTAACCAAATATTTTTAGCTGGATATTTCATATATGAAAGATTAAACAACGCTCCATCGTAATATGAATTCTCCAGATATAATTATAGAAATTTTATTTAATTTAAATATTTAAAAATATCAAATATTTTATTTCAATTTAAGAAAATATATAAGTGCATCGTCGCTAATGGCTATATTCTTAATTTAAAATCTAAACTATTTAGAGTATCATTTTTTATCTCAAGTTAATTTCTAATCGCGAATAATATAATAATGAATATAATTTTTCATAAATTATCCTATAAAAAAATAACTCTTCTTTCATCAAAAAATTAATTAAATTAGGCGCGTAACCAATGGGGGGAGGGAATCCCCCCCATCGCAAATTTGACTGTTTTCATAAATAACATTTTAAGCTAATAAAAATTTTACAAATATTTGAATATCAATTTTCCAACATAAAACTTATTTTTTATAAATAAATTTTTTTTAAATTTCCTTTCCTTGTGAGTACATTAACAAAAATATTAATAAAAAATGGAGAAATTTTTAGTCAAAGACAAAGATATTGAAATCAAACGGTATATAATTTATTATTAAATATATTTATTTTATGAAATTCAAAATTATTAGTTAGTGAGTTAGAATTTATTTTTAATAATATTTTAATTATTAATAAATATCTAATTTTATATTTTTCATTTTTCTTTAGAACAGAAGATATACAAAATTTAAATATGTCTGAGCATGTTGGCTCAATTTCCCGATATTTTGAAGTTATTTTATATTCTTGCATGTTTGCCTATTACAACATGCACGAATAAAAGGACATTTTCAAACTTGAGAAGGCTGAAGACATTTTTACGAAGTACTATTTCAGAATCTCGGCTAAATGGATTAGCTATGTTAAATATTCATAGAGATTTAGTTCCAACGACGAACGAAATTCTAGATGAATTGGCAACATCCACACGAAAACTAAAAATTACATTATAGTTATAGTGTTTAATAAACTTTTTGATAATATTGTATTTGATAGAAGTTATAAAAACTTACTTTTTAAATTATTTTCTAGTCAATATTTTATACACTTTGCACAATAAAAAAAAATTTATTCTACTTATATTGTAAGAGAATTTAAGCTGAGGCTAGCTTTTAAAGCAAATTTTAAAATAAAATGACATTAAACTTTATTTCAACTTTATATTTAAAAAAACTTTATTAAATATAGCATATCTAACTTAAAATAATAAAAAATAGGCTTGTAATATCGATATGCACGAATTAGTAAATAAAAGTTAAAAATAGATATATAATTATTATTAAATTATGAAAAATTTAATAGAAAAGCTAAAACATAAGACACGGCCAAAGGCCGGGCAAAAGCTGACCGAAGGCCAGCTAGGGGCGAAGCCCCCCCCCCCAAACCCCCCCCATAAGAAAATCCTGGATACGCCACTGAATTAAATATAAACAAAATACCATCAATAACATGACAAGTTCATTTTATCAATTAGCATAGATTTATAAAAATAAAACAGGATATAGTTTTAAATGGGTTAAATGTAAAAAATTGTTGTGGTTTATATATTTGTTTAGATATTTTGAATTACAAACATAATATTTAAATATTTCTCGTCACCTTTTTTATAAATTAGCATAAAAGTAACAAAAGCTACTTTTTTGAAAGGAAGCTTTAAGGTAGCACACTACCTTTTTCGAAATATATAAATCGGTTCAGTCTCTATTGATCAGCGGTACAGTTTGGTCTTTATATTGTGGTTTATGGTTCGGTTTTTGAAAATTGGCTCCAGACGAAACTAAACTAAACTGTGACTTTCACTACACAGGAGGGAATCTTGAAACTATTTTAACTGTACGGCACTATTCATATTTATTGTATGAAGAGTTACCGACCAGAGGCAGAACCTAACCCCTCCTTTAAAATTTATAGAAACTAGAACTGGAACCAATTTTTACGTTTTCAGGAACTGGTTCTACCTATATATTATATATATTGTTAAATGTTGAGTGATTTCATGTTTAAATTTTTTGATTACTTAAAGTTTGGAGCCGGAACCTGAACCCAAGGAACCGCGAAAAATTTAGGAACCGGAACTTATTTTCAAAATCTTAGGAACCATAACACTTTTAAAAAATATTCAGAACCGGAAATGAAAATAATTTCAAATATTGCGAATAATTTCAAATATTTTGTTGATCGAATACTGAATAAGCTATTATTCGAAGATTGAGAAGAAATAAAGAAAGAATGAAATAAATAAAGAAAGAAAGAAAGAAAGAAAAAAGAAAGATTAAAAAAATAATTTAATCCTTACGTTATTGCCATAAATGAGGAATAGGACGTATTCGGAGCAAGGATATTTGAGGGACAAAGCTTGCCGCTTTCCAGATACCAGTTTTATAAAATTCTGATTGCATTTCGCGTTTCTTGATGAAAAATAATTAATAATCATAAAAAGAAGACAAAAAAAATTTGAGAAAATTCTATAAATTAAAATCAATTATATTTTTATGAAATGACGCTAAATTTATGATTATCTACATATACCACATTTGGAAAAACAAGATAATTTTTTTGGCATCAATTATATATTCTCAAATAACGAAAGCTGTTTTGAACTATACCAGGTCAAATCCAAATTTTTTTCCAGTACCCGGCCTAATATATTATTAAATAACAATTTTTATACGTGGACAAAGGCAAAGGCAGGATGGGACGGGTAGTAGAGGCATGCATGGGCTAAGAATTTATAGTCATGCCCTGCCCAGATTCGCGAAAAAACTTTTTTAATTTAAGCCCATGCCTACTGTTAATAAAAATATATAAACCCGGCCCTCCATGAAAACTTAAAGAATATTGCCTAGAAAGAGTAATATAAAAAAAAATCTAAGCCCTGGAAAAATTTACTATATTAATGCCAAACAAAACCAATGTATTATAATATGAAAACTTTTAGAAATTCAAATAAGGACAAACGGTATGCTAAAAAAAAATAGTAATGTGTCTAATAATCTTTCTGCTCCTAAAGAAATGCATTTTTCAGGCCATTGTGGTAAGAGCATAATAGGCTCTCACCAATACTGGTTAAAAAGGTCCTTATATCCATTCTTTAAATAAACTTGTTATATTAGATATAAATTTTTCAAATAATTTACTAACTTTGCAGTGAAAACGTTTCAAATGATTTGTTGGGAAATTTTAAAATAGTAAGCTTAATATAAGGCCAAGGAAAATTTGAAATGATATTATAAAATAAATTAATAGCGTATTTATTTCTGCTGTAAATGTGATAATTAAATTGAATTATGTATATAAGAGGTAGGAATGATTTTATATTAATAATCATAAAACAGTAATATTTTCGAAAAATATTTTAACAGGCATCTGCATTATTTGACTAGGAGAGACTGGCTTTCTGTCCTCCACTGTGTACGCGCCTGATAAATGACTATAATATTAATACTCACGCAAACCATTTAATTTAGAAAAAAAAATATTTCAATATTGTTAATACATTAATTTTAAATATAATCAATGAATTTTAAATAATTAATAACTCCCTTCAGAAATTTGTATGTTTTTGTAAATATCATCATAGCTAATAAAAATTACCCCCCTCCCTCTCCTTTAATAGAAACACTCCCCCACCACCTTTCTTTCAAAATAACTTAAACAATGCTATTCAAAATGAATCGCATAATAACGAATGCTGTTGTGTTTACAACATAATTAATTTTAATTGCCCCTTCTTGTTATCGAAATTAACTAGCCTCACAAAATTCGAATGTGATAAACAAGTAATGATTTTCATTTTTGTTGAACAAAGGCTGTTATTTTATATAATCACATTTGTAACCACAAAGATATTTGTGAGTAGCTAAAAGAATTGCGCTAAGACACCGTATTGGTTGATAAAAAATAAAACATAACGATCTCGCTAGATTTACGATGTTATCATTAGCTAAAAAATATTAGCATATATAATCGATAAAAACCCATGAAAAGATGGGATTGTTTGTGGATAAGCACTTTTTACTTTGACTTTTTGAAAGACCAAGTTTGTTATTATATAGTAACGGGCTATATTTATAGCTACCTTCTAAAATAAAGAATTGATCTAAATTAATCTTAACCCTGTATTGCATACTGTGTATCTCAAGCCACATACCACAAATTATATAATAAATATTTTATAAATAAATTTTAAATCAATTGCATGGTGTGTATTTGAAGCCATATTCTATATCTTCGATTGGAATTTTAATTTGGGCCACGTGATCTATTATTTATTTTTAATTTCGCATTTTATTAAACCCTATTTTTAAAAATGGCTATTTTTTTATAAAATTTTTCTTCTCAATTTTCTACACATCGTAAAAGGATAAATAATATATTTGACAAATTTCAAAACATTAAAATTAGATAAATAAAAGGTAAAAATTAATGTTTATGAAATTATTTTATATATATTTATTATTTTTGATAATTATATTTTGTAATAATCATACGTTGCTTTAAAGATACATTATGCAAATAAGGTATTTTATTTGAGTTTTATATTTTTAGAATTATGAATTGTGGTACCATACCTAATGATAGTGAAGATTCAAATTTAAGTGAATCGTCTGATGAGGAGTTTCTGTCAACCCAAAATAATGATTTAGGTATATTTAAAATGTATGCTCTTATATAATCTATAAATATCTAGATTTCAATGAGAGTGATGAATCGGAAGAGGATGAAAATATAAATAATGAAAAAGGAATCGTGAGAAAAATGATTTGGAAAAATTGCTTAACTAATTTACCATTAGTTATTCCAAAGTGGAAAGGAGAAAACCCAACGGTTGATAAAGTAAAAAAACCAATGGATTATTATAATACATATCTCAATGATTTATTACCTCTAATTGTTTACGAATCAAATTTATATGCAATTCAATGTAATTCCAACAAACCTTTGAATTTATCGATAGATGAATTAGAAAAATTTATAGGAATTATTTTTTACATGTCAATTATTAAACTTCCCAGAGCACGTCTCTACTGGGCCACCAATACAAGACAGGCCAAGGTGGCTGATGTCATGACCCTAAATCGCTGGGAACAAATCAAATTATTCATTCATATAAATGATAATGACAAATTTATTCCACTTGGAAGTGAGGGCCATGACCCACTTCATAAAATTAGACCCTTGATAACTATAACCAATAATATACTAAAATCTTTATCGATAGGGGAAAATATTTGCGTAGATGAGCAAATAATTCCATACAAAGGGATGAGCAGATTAAAGCAATATAACCCCCAAAAGCCCAAAAAATGGGGCTATAAAGTCTTTCTACTATGCGGAGATGATGGCCTTCTCCATAATTTTGAAGTATACTCTGGGAAAATACTACCAGCGGAAGGATTGCCTGATGTTGGAGCAAGTGGCAATGCTGTGCTACGTTTAATTTCTTATATACCACAGCAAATTAATTATAAATTATTTTTTGATAACTGGTTTTGTTCACCAAATTTGCAAGTCGTACTCGCTCAAAGAGGGATATTTTGCGCGGCCACGGTCAGAGGTAATCGACTACCAAATATCAACTTCCCAACAGATAAGGAGTTGAAAAAAAAAGGACGAGGATTTTTTGTTTCAAAAAAAACAATAATAAACGGGGTTGAATTAAATTCAGTGAAGTGGCACGACAATCGTGCTGTGACCTTATTGAGCACTTTTGTAGGTGCACATCCTCTTATCGATTGCGAAAGATATGATAGAAAAAAAAAGGATAAAATAATGATAAAATGTCCAAACATTGTTAAAGTTTATAATAAATCAATGGGAGGTGTAGATCTTATGGATTCTTTACTTTCATTATATAGAATTCATACCAAATCAAGAAAATGGTACCATCGAATTTTATTTCATGTATTCGACATGTTACTTATAAATTCTTGGTTGCTATACAAACGGGATTATAATAGTATATCAATAGCAGGCAAGGATCGATTAAGTTTGTACAATTTCAAAATTTCGGTGGCGGAAGTCCTTTGCAAATATGGCAAATGCACTTCAAACAATATTCCAAAACGAAAATCAGTTCAAACTGGTTATCGGGAAAAATGTAAAAAAGGACCAGCTCAATATTTACCACTTCAAGAGGTTAGGAAAGACCTCACGGCTCATTGGCCAAAATATAATGATAAGAAGGGTAGATGTAAAATGCCAGGATGCTTATTTATAACAAAAGTATCTTGCAAAAAATGTGGTGTATATTTATGTTTTACGCCCACAAATAATTGTTTTATAGATTTTCATGAAAATTAAAATGTTTAAACCTTTAATATTTGTTATATTTAAATAAAATTTTATATATTTATAGTTTAAAGTACAATAAAAATTATTGTGGAAATAATTGAAATTTGTATCCTTAATTGCATAATGTGTATTTAAATCCACATACCGTTCATCTTCTAAGAAATTTAGAATTTTTTTTAAAAAAGTGAGCCATGAGATTATCAATAGTATCTAGAGAAATAAAAAATCTAGTTTGCCAAAAAAAAATTATTCTAACATAGTACATGCAATACAGGGTTAACCCTATGTTAGCCAGCGCACCAATTTAAAGTATTTTTTAAAAAAAGATTTAATGAAATCACGTGTCCCGTACTTAAAATAATCTTATGACCTCAAATGTAACAAAGACGAGATTATTCGTTTGAATATGAATAAATAATTATTCGAATCATAATTCAAATATAATTAGATATTTTTTTTAAAAAAAAATTAATCATTTCTTATTTCAATTGATCCGATAGGTAAAGGTTAGCCATAACTACTTGTGGAAGGTAAATTATTTTTTAAATAATGACTATAAGTCCTTGTCATTGATAAATGTTTTTTTTATATTCTAAATATTATGCCGATTTATAATTTTTTAATGAATAACGCCAAATAAATAATTCTAGCATCTATTAAAATAATAAAGATGAGATACATTATACCGAATCTCACAGAGTACTCATGCAGGGGCGGCCGGGAAATCATCAATAAAATATACGTCTAGGCCGTGGCACGAAAAATATTAATGTGCACTTTTCTTCCTTTTTTGTAAGATTAATTATCACAATTATAGAATAAAATAAGAAAAGTTTTAAAAAAATCATGAGTAATATTTACCAGAGAGGCAAGGATATTTTTAATTTTAACCGATACCACACCATTCTCAAAAATAATAATTAATTTTAATATTTTTTTAAAAAAAAATTGCAATATCACGCTAAATAAAAAAAAAGTCATAAAATTTTGTAAACGATAAAAAAGAAAGGCTGCTATGCTTCATTTACTATTTCTTTCAATTGAAATTAACAAATTAATTATTAAATGATAAATAAAAAATGATAATGTTGATGAATATTTATATCTTTGCTTTTTTAAAAATTAATTTACTACATTATAATTTATGGTATCGGTCTCTAAAACTTACTATTTATATTCATATCATATTCTATAATAAATAGAATAGATAAATAATATCATTAAATTATCAATTTTATTGTTGAATATTTAAATTAATATATAACAATAAAATAAAGAAAAAATAAATATTTTAGGTTAAAGATTTCTTCCCTATAAGTTTTTTAAAAATTACGGGCCACGGATCGAGCCAAGCCTAAATCTAAAAAAATTTGCCGCCAGCCCGCTGGTGGGTTTGGTCTGAATAAAATCAATTATGTAGGTCCCTAATAGTGAGGATAGGTTCTCGCCATCAAAGAATAATCCGACTGTTTAAGCTTAACATTTTTATTCCATATTATTTAAAATGCTTTGTATTTGTCTCCACTATCTTTATATCTTTTTATATTTTAAAAGTGTCTGCTGCAAAATTCAAATATGCAAAAAAAAAACCTCCAATTGAAAGTTCTGCAAAAACTAGTGAATATATATGATGCACTTTTAACCAGTCGCAAAGCCAGCAAAAAATTTGAAAAAATATAAAAGGTTTCATGAATTGTGAATTGCAAAGTATTTCATTTCAAATAGGTTACTATTTGAAATTTTAACAAAAAATTTCTTTCTTTCTGTACATTAATATTTTATCCCACAAAAATTTAAAATATATTTTAACACATTTTTTCCCCTTAAACACCGATGGAAATAAGAAAATTTTATAAACCATCTATTAAATTTATCTCAAATAATAAACTATGATTAGTCAAAATTTAGAGTGTATGAAATGTTCAGATATCCATAGACAGAATTTGCTGAATAGAATTATTTATGAGACTTGTTGCTACAAGAAGAAAGGAACTGAAAAAATCATGCACTGAGATGGAGCATTTCCTGTTACATTATTTTTGTATCTAGAAGATCCCATTTTGAGTGCCCTTGGATAAATATCAGAAAGGCCCCAGCCGGAATTTCATATGAAGCTGTGCATTATTAGATTTGAAATGTTCGGGGCCAAATAAGCTGGCTCCCCGAAAGTTGGGGTAGGGGGGGGGGGGTTCGATCCATCGGGATTTTCTAGAGTGAGGACTTGGGAACCCGGCTTTAGTGGCGGTACTTTCACCATAGTCTCTAAGGAACGTGTAAATAACCACAAAGGTCGTACCCCGGCATCAGCGGGAGTTAATATAAACAAATAAAAAGAAAGGTGGACTGCATCCGTAACCAATTAAATTCTTAGTTGATAGGTAATTCTTTATACGGCAATCAAGTCCCATTTGTTTTTATAGTGACGTCAACAGCCGCTCCACAGTATAAGTGCGAATTCATTCTAAATTAACATGAAAACGAAGGAATGGATTATTCTGCACCGCAGGATTAGGGCGGATTTCAATCCTATTTGCGTTGAGAATAAAGGAACGAATTGCCCTCACCGTAAGATTAGTAAGGCTTTCATATATTTATTTTATAGGGACGGCACGGAGCCGATATAAGGTCATAGTCTGTAACATACGTTATCAGTTAATTTTTAAGTAAAATCAAAACAAAATACATTTTTCATAATTTTTTTTTAAAGTAAAATGGTAAAATTAGATAAAAATTAATAACATCACTATCTCGTTTTCATCCTAGCTAATTATATACAGTAATGGTATTATGTTAATATAACAGTCTTATTAATTGCAAGTAACCTAGATGGGGATGTTCCTTTGTTAATAACATAATTTATCTAAAATTAGTACAATAAAAAAAAGGGACTTTAAAATTGAAGGCTAACAGCTTTCAACTAGGGATATAGATGCCTAGCAAAACGGGTGAGTTATAAAAAGACTTAGTAAATTAAAATAAATGCTAGCTATTTTCTTTTACAACTAAATGTATTATACTAAAAAACGAGTTGTCCTTTCTCATCACTCCTTAACCAGGTTGCCAGGTCAAAATTTTAAAATAGCGGGATAAATTTGGTATTTTGCTGGAGAAATATGAAATTTGCAGGAGAAATTAGAAAATTACTAAAAAAAATTGTGAGCTGAGGACCCGTAAAGTGCCAGCCTTCGGCCGGGTTTGTGAAATGACTTAGTTATATCACTATTATTTTAAAAATTACTTTATATTCAGTAACAAATATTTTTCAAAATAGGTAATAATTTATACTCAGTTTTAATTTCAACTTCTCTGTAGGAGAGTTACTTTATTTATATCAGAGACCTGCAGGCCCGGCCCTAAACCCAGCCTTTGTTAATTTTTTTAAAATATATTGGGGTCGTGCTTAAAAATTTTTTTTTAAATATATCAGGGCCAGGCTTGAAATTTTTTTTTTTAAATACCCAGGCCAGGCCTATAAATTTTTTTAAAATACCCAGGCCAGGCTTATAAATTTTTTTAAATATACCCAGGCCGGGCCTAAAATTATTAAACCCAAGCTGGGCCGTAAAATTTTTTTTACCAGGCTGTGCAAATGATACTTCTGCAGGTCTCTGATTTATATATAATATATAAAAGAAAATAAGTTGATCAAACAAGACAAAATTTTTTAAAAATAATACCTTTATTTATTAAAATAACATTTTTATTTATAATAACATCTTCTTTATTATATTTTAGTCAAAACAATTAATTTTTTCAATACCTCAAAAATTTTAAAAAAAATATGAATATTAACATTTTCTGAATCCTCTTGAAGAGTTACACATAATTCTATATTTTTTAATTTGAGCAAATTTAATAGGGGAGTCTAGGATTCTTAGTTTTGTCATTAAAAAATAGATTTTTGTTTTTTTACTAATTTATTAAATTATAAAAAACATCTTCTAAATCCTATTAAATAGTTATACAATTTCATATTTTTTTTTTAATTTGAACCTAATTTAATATATGGGATTCTTAGATTAGTCAAAAAATAGTTTTTTTTTCAATTTTTTAAAAAAAATTTTAAAATTAATTTTAACATTTTCTGAATCTAAACAAGTATCTATTATAATTTTTTTACAATAGCTCATAATTAACAAGAATTCTTAGGGATTCTTAATTTGGTGATAAAATGTATTTCTTTATAAATTTACCAGTTTTCTTAAATTAAAAAAAAAATAAAATATATTCTAAATCATATTGAAGAGCTAACTATAATATGTGTTTCTTTAATAGGGGATTCTTAGTTTACAGGAATTCTCATTTTAGTTAGGCCCCCAGAAAACAAGCTGTTTATATTTATGTCAGTTATAATTGCTCAATGGTGCACTATAAATATTTTTTTTATAAGGCTACATTTTTATGTAAAAATTTTGGGCTGATTGTGCTGGACATAAAAAAACTGCCCATATCAGACCTTGTAAAATAAATCAGATAAAAATTTCTAATATAAAAGGAGTGAATACAAATGGAAGAGATAAGGGCCAAAAATAAATGAAGTGATATTAAGATTATGGTAGAATTAAGCTAATACTGGGAGTGTCATCATATCAGATAATAATTAATAATGGAGAAAATGATAAGATCATTTTTAAAACAACATCATTTATATTTCAACCTTCAATATTAAATCAAAGTAATATTGTTACAATACAAAATTTAATCTGTTATAAATAAATAATAATTTAAAATATTTAACTTGGGAATTTCATTTGAGACATTGTTAGGTGGTATTAATATAATATTAAAATTGATTCCTTTGGATTTTTCATTTGTACAATTTTTGAAAATATTTAGATAACTTGAATATTTTTTGATGTGAATTATTGTTTCCATAATTTTGTTTTCTATTTTAAAAAATTATAATAAAAAAAATTCAAATAGTCAAACTTTGTATATTATCAATCACTCTAGCACGATCACATATGTAATATAATTCAGATCTAAGAATGCATTGTTCTATGGTTGTATTTGCCAAAATTAAATGAGAATAGCAAAAGAATCTTCCTTTAGAACCTTCAGAGTCATATATAATCGATAGAAATAACATAATCAATATGACTAAAAGATATTTCATGTCATTTTTGGTAAGTTCAAGAATCCTTACCACAAAATTTTATCTTAATTCTTATTTTATTTGGCACATTGGAAAATATTGTTCAATTTTTAAAAGTTCCGTATAATATATCATATTGATCAACATGAATTCGATACGAAACAGCGAAAATCAGAATAGCGAAAAATAAAAAAATGTTCCTATTATATATAACTCCACTAAAATGTCATAAATAATATTATATCTATTATTAATATAAGTATATTATTAAATATGTTATTTTTTTCCAAATAAATTAAGTTATTATCATGGTATTTATATATTGTCCCTTTATAAATACTAATATTTTGTATATGACATTAGTAATGTATGGCCATTATAACTCTATCTTCTTTAAATATTATCTATAAAATACTAATATTTGGTTTATTTAGTGTATTTTTAATTAAATATAATGTTTAATAATAATTTTATATGACATTAATAATGTATGGCCATTACATAAACTTTATCTTTAAATATTATCAATAAAATTCTAATATTTTGTATATTTATTGTATTTTTAATTAAATATAATGTTTTATTAATTTTTTAAATTATATTATAAAAATAACTTATAGACCAATAAATATGTTATTAATTTTTTCACAATTGTTATTGCCTTGCCTAATATAATATGAATCATTTTTAAATCCTAAATATGGTATTTATATATTTTCAATTTATAAATACTGATTTTTTGTAATTTTAATTTAAAAGCATGGCAAGCAAAAAATCTTTCTTTCTTATAAAAATTTATTCATGTAAATAAAGGGTTTTTTTTAATTATTTATATTTTAAATAATAACTTTTACATTCAATTTTAAGTATACACTGCATAGACAGATTGATCATTTATATTTGCACTGAATAATATATATTATAATAACACAATCATAATACAATATGCATTCATAAAATATTAACAGTATATCTATTGGAAAATGACAATCATCTAAAATAGATTTATTGATTATGTTTATTTAAAGGGTTGAAAAAAAGGAATATTATATTCATATAATAATAATCTTCAATAGCTGCTTTTTTGCTGATTTATTATCATTTGCAAGCTGAATTATTTGCCACTAAGAAATTTAAATAATATTAGTAAATAAAGGGTTTTTTTTAATTATTTATATTTTAAATAATAACTTTTACATTCAATTTTAAGTGTACACTGCATAGACAGATTGATCATTTATATTTGCACTGAATAATATATATTATAATAACACAATCATAATACAATATGCATTCATAAAATATTAACAGTATATCTATTGGAAAATGACAATCATCTAAAATAGATTTATTGATTGTTTATTTAAAGGGTTGAAAAAAGGGAATATTATATTCATATAATAATAATCTTCAATAGCTGCTTTTCCTGCTGATTTATTATCATTTGCAAGCTGAATTATTTGCCACTAAGAAATTTAATTTAATATAATAAAAAAAATAAATCTATACCTTCAGCAGAAGTAAGCATGACCTCTGTATCTTCTTTTTGCATTTTAGGTTGGCTGAATTAAATTTGGGCCTAAAATCATCTAAATTTCAAAATCAATTGCTAAAAAATTTATACTTTCATGAGTATCTCTTATGAGAAAGTTGCTTGTAAACTGAATTGAATTTGTTCCTAAATTATTAAATTTATTTACTGTATCACATTAAATTATTAATATTTCATTAAAACTAATTATATACTTTTCTCATATCAAAAATTTTCGCCATATTGGGAATATTTTTGGGAAAATTTTTAAAAATGTTCCCTGATTTTCGCTGTTTCGGTCTTGGCGATATCGTGCCCAGGCCGATCAACATATGGCAATTTCAAACTGCTAAAATTTTGGTAAACCTATTAATATTGAAAACCTTAACAGTTTGTTTCAGTCAATCACAGTCAAAAAAAAGGAAATTAGAAATCAAATTTAAAAGAATTTTGATTATATAGTAATACGACTACAAATTTATAAACAATATGACTACTAATTTATATTTCAATTTATTTCAAACATCAAATTTGTATTAATTAATTTTTGAATGTTCCATTCTATTTTTATATATAATATCTATAAATAATATTTTATTAATTTATTACATTTCCTTCAAACATTTTAAAGTCTTCAATAAACCTATTTGTAGGTTTACGGTTTCTTGATGAACAACGTAATGTGGTATTTGTATTGGTATTTGCTTTATTCACTGGCACCCATTTCTGTAACTTCCAAAGAACTGATTTGGGATAACTAAATGATTTCTTAACTGATCTGCATGCTTCCGTAATGTTTTCCCAGAAGTTTCAACCTGTAAGAAGGTGAAAATATATTTTTATTATCTGTTTTATTACTCTTTTTCATAACACATATATATCTTTTTACAAAAGTAATATTTGAATAAACTTAAAGTAAAACTAAAATGAAAATATAATCTTTAAATAAAACTAAAATATACGTTACGACTAAAATAAAGGTTACAATTTATAAAACTAAAATAAAGGTTACAATTTATAAAACTAAAATAAAGGTTACAATTTATAAAACTAAAATTATATTATTCAACATTCTCCCTAAAGAAGCCTTCACATAAGTTTAATTGTGCAGTCATAGTTAGTTTGTTGTCCAAATGTTTTAACGTTTTAACCATCAAGTTGTTTCATAAGTCATAGTAATCGCTAGCTTGTCCCAATCATTGGTTTGTTTAAATCGATTTTGCACGTTGATTTGTTTAAATCGTAAGCTTGATATCCTTATCTTAAGTTATCCTTATCAACCATGAATTTGTCTATCTTGCTTGTAGTACTCAGTCGTTATTATTATCAATTTTCAAAATTGTTATTATCATCAGTAAGTTGCGAATAATGAGAAATAATAGTTCATTAAGTTAGATATAAGAATAAATGAAGAATGATAAATCAATAATATTGTTTTATAATATTTTCAGCGTTTTCATATTTTGCGTTTTAGTATAAATTTATTTTATTTAATATTTAATTTACTTTTATATTTTAATTTATGTAATCTTTTAAATAACCAGGTTTTTGTTTAATTCGCATTGGTCTAGAAATCGGTGTTTTATTATTTTTATCAGTAATTTTTATATTTTTGTCCACACTTCCCTCCTTAAAAGAATCCTTAGAGTCATAGTTAATAAGTGTATTAAAACAGTTTCTTAATCTTAATTGATCTAAGTGTCTTCTCATAATACCTTTATCTGTCTTAATTTGGAACATCATGTCACTTTCTTTGTGTGTGACCATACCTTTATACCATTTGTCATCATCTTGTACTTTGTACCAAACAAAATCTCCTACGTTAAAGGTTTTATTTTGTGGTAAAGTAATGTTTATTTTGTCTTCCTTCTCCTCCAAAGGTTTTAATAAGTCCCATTTAATTCTAATATCTCGATTGAACATCATTCTCTGAGATGGTGTAACTCCTGTTCTGTAGTATCATTACGCGTATTTCTGTAATTAAATAAAAATTTGTCAACTGCGATGTCTAAGTCAATTTTGATATTCCTTTTCATATGTGTTTTGAACGTTCTCACCATGTGTTCTACCTGACCATTGGATTGCTGATGATCAGGGTTGCCAGGTCAAAATTTTCAAATTGCTGGGAAATTTGGTATTTTGCAGGAGAAATATGAAAATTGCTGTAGAAATAAAAAATTTGCTAAAAAAGGCCTTCAAAATTCCAGCCGGGCCGGGATTTTGAATTGACTTAATTATCCGCCTATTATTTTTTATAATTAGTTTATATAAATACAAATTCGGTAACTATTTTTCAAAATAAAATAACATCTTGATTTATTAAAATATATTAATTTATAAAAAATAACCAACGATCCTTTTTAAATATAAAAGATGTAAACAAGATTAAATTTTATAAAAAAACAAACGATTTTAATTTTACAATGTAAAAAATATCAAAACACCCGCAATTAGAAGTCTACCTTGTGTGTATATAACATTATAGGGATAGGCGCTTAATTATCACGTATCACGTTTAAATACATAATAAGGCAATATTGTACTCATTTCAATGATAATCATTTTATTTATTATTGTTCAATCACATTATTATAATCAGTGCAGGAGAGTGTATCTACATCCATTGTAATACAAAAATATCCAAAAATTATAAATAATACAGATGCAACTATGGTTACAGAAATTGTAATCTTTTATTTTGTAGTACAACTGAAGAAAGAAGAATGACGTCCTTGGAGAAAAAGTAAAAACATTATTTTATATCTTTTTATTTCTCTTTTTTAATCAACTATTTATATATTTTTTACAAACTAAAATTAGAATATAATATTAAAAATATTAAGTTATAAAATAAAAGTATCACTAAAATAAAAATATATTGAATAAGTTAAATGAATGAGCGTTATATAATAAACATATACTATTTAATAACCAAAATATATAATTTTAAAAAGGTGAAGTTATAAAATAAAAGTATCACTAAAATAAAAATATAATTTGAATAAGTTAAATGAATGAGCGTTATATAATAAACATATACTATTTAATAACCAAAATATATAATATTAATTTATTAATTCCTATAATATAACAACAACATTCACAGAGCTACTTATCATTACAATTTAGGCAGAATCTTTTCCCATAATACTTAACGACTCCAATATAAATGTAAACTTTACTTGTAGAACAAAAATGAGCAAGGATATCATCAATGTTTTAGAACCTGAATTCAGGAGGACAATTCTTGACGATTTGAAAGATGGCATACATATGCAATATTCTAACAGATGCATCTAATAATTGAAATATAAAAATATTTCTTTTGATCCTTCGCTATTTTAACAAAATTAAGGTTCCAAGAAAACTATTAAATTTTTTCCCGTTGAATAGTAAAAAATCCAAAGACATAGCTAACCATATAATGGTAAATATAGCAGATTCGGGATTATCAATAAATTACATGTCATCTTTCTGATCTGATAATGCCTCAGTGAATTTAGAAAAAACCAGAGTGTATTTACAGAATTGAGTCAGCACAATGTTGGTTGCGATATGTTCCTAATACCCGCCATCTATAGAATTTTAAAATTTTATAAACTTTTAAATATTTCTTAAATAAAGATCATAAAAGCTGTCCTAACATTTTGAAAATTTTTTTCAGTAATGAAAGGCAGAGGTATATTTAGGAATGATTTCACATGTAGGAAATCTACTACATACTGTTAATGTGCAGTTACAATCAGAAGAATCTTAACAAAGATTCACAAAATTGTGCTGCAGATGTGTTAATCTTTACAGTTAAAAATTGACAATAAATTTTATGGCGCCATTGCTAAAACTATATTAAAATGTTCAAATATTTTAAAAATACCGATAGACATTGATGTATTGTTTGAGGATATTGTAATGCTATCTATTTTTTATTTACAATGTAAAAAATATATTTATTTTAAGCGAATGTATAAATAAAAAAATATGGAAAATTAATTATAAGATTAATTATATTTTATTTGAGATTTAAATAATGGAACTAAACGTTTACCGTCGTTATTGAGATATTTATAAAATTCCTGGCATTACATATATAAATTTGTTTAACCATTAGCCCGGCCTCTAATGTTGTTAAAGCAATGTTTTCCAGGCAGTCCTCATCAGGCTAAAAATGTGCTCGGATGAGGCATTAGAATGAGGTAAGGAGAAGACATACTCGCAATTTTTTTCCTAGCATGGGGATTTATTGTTATTACGAAATTCTACCCGTTTCTCCTCTGCTTTTAGTCAATCTAACTTTAAGTATTCTGGCGAATCATAAAAAATAGAGAGAATTACAATCTCTTCAAACAAGACATCAATATCTTTCGGTATTTTTAATATATTTATTAAATTATAAAAACATCAATTGATGGTTTCTGTTCCAAGGTCATAATATTTATATATTTGTAAATAGAGTTATTGAAATCAAATTTTGTGTAAATATTCTAAAATTGTCTTAATAAAAATATCTGCTTCATTTAAAAATGTATTAATTAGAGTATTATTTAAACATTTAATATTTTTAGCAATAGCGCCATAAAATTTATTATCAATTTTTAACTATAGAGATGAACAGAGCTGTAGCATGATTTTGTGAATCTTTATTAATAAAGAATATTCTGATTGCAACTGAATATTAACTGCATGAAGTAGATTTCCTACATGTGAAACTAATCCCAATTCTACCATTTCACACTTGAAAAAATTTTTCAAAATTTTATGACAGCTTTTAAAATCTTTATTTAAAAAGTATTTTTTTAAGGATTTGTAAAATTTTAAAATTCTATCGATAACAGGTATTATTGATAACCACCTGATAGGTACATATCGCAACAACTCACACGATTCCAAGTCAGACCACTCCACCAACTCTTTTAATTCATTAAATCTTTTAGTTGATGAATTAAATTCGTTAAAACATCTCATCATAATTATTTCAACATCCACAGATAGTACATTCATTGCCTTCTTGCAAGAATCATGTAGTATATGGCATATAAAGTCAATTGGTATTAATTCATTATTGTGCTCCCTCAATTCGGTAAATACACTTTGGGTTGTGCCAAAATTTACAGAGGCATTATCAGCGCAGAAAGACCCTGAATCATCTATATTTACATTATGTGGTTAGCTACATCGTTGGATTTTCAATATCCGAGGAAAAAAAATTTAACAGTTTTATTGTAATGTTCTTATTCTTG